AATAGCTTCTCTTCAAGTCAAACATTTAAGAATCTTTGGACGCTTAATACACAAGGCCATGATAAATTAATTTCTTAAAGAAACGTATTTTCTAAGCCACGGGGAAGAAAAGCAATCTAACCCAGTGAGCTCTAGTGGGATTCCTGCATTCTGGCAACCAGAGAACAATGTGGTTATATCCCTAATGTGTCTGGAAAAGCAGCAGGACAGTAGCAGTGCTGTTAATATCAACTGAAGGTCACCTGCTGCCTAAATGGTTTCTTCTGTGCATTCAGTAGACCACCACACAGTGAGTGACGTATCTCCAACCCAGTGATGCAAAATTCGGGGCAAGACCTGAATAATTCTGACAGGTAATCTAACCTGGTTGTAAGATCTCCTGCTTGTAGAACGTCCACAAATAGCAATTCTGGAACGTACGTACCCGAGGGGTTTCTGCCTGGGCCCTCCGAGCCACCATGAGAAGCAGCTGTTGCTGCAGAGCACTGACCACTGGGTCCCCAGAAGACGGATCTTGACTCTCAGAAGTTGTGGTGCTGGAAGAGCTGACCTGTACCTCCCTGAGGATGGGAAAAACAAAAGCTTTGGTGACCTGGACATACTAGAAATCACCTATTCGTCATACACAAACACGAGGGCACTGGAGATGCCCAATGCAGGCAGGGGATGAGCCTTTACAACCTTACGTAAGCAGTTAAGAGTTCCGAGTTATGCATACATTATCCAGGCAGAAGGTCAACCCTCCTGCACACACTGAAACGATGCCAGCTGTCCAGGGCACAGCATGCCATGGGTAGGTAGGTAGATGCCTGGTGTTCTGGAGATGACAACCTAATTTTTCTACATATTTCATGGGTGGGAGATGGTAGCAATAGGTTCTAGCCTCGTATTTTGTAAAAATAATAAATAGTGGACCTGATAATTCTCCAAGCACCAATCAGAAAGAAACCTCCCCAACCCCCAACACTCTCTCTGCGCTCTGTCATCCCACACCCCAAAGAAAGACAAGCACATACTGGATAAAAGAAATGCCTCGGGTAATTGAAAAAGAGGACACTGCTAAATAAGTTGTGATCTATATCTAATGTGATCTATATCTAAAAAATAATGTGATCTATATCTAAAAATACTCTTATTATCTTTAACCACATATAGATCGACAGGGCTTAAATTAATAGAGCTCATTAAGCGATCTCAATCCTGGCATTTCTCCTTTGGCTCAGAAAACAAAAACTAGGGGCCGGCCCGGTGGCGCACTGCTACAGTGCACCACTTGGGAGCGCGGCGACGCTCCCGCCGAGGGTTCAGATCCCACATACAGACCGGTTCCCGCNATAAAAGAAATGCCTCGGGTAATTGAAAAAGAGGACACTGCTAAATAAGTTGTGATCTATATCTAATGTGATCTATATCTAAAAATAGTCTTATTATCTTTAACCACACATAGATCGACAGGGCTTAAATTAATAGAGCTCATTAAGCGATCTCAATCCTGGCATTTCTCCTTTGGCTCAGAAAACAAAAACTAGAACATACTCTCCATCTGATTTTCTAGCAGGGTGCCTATAACTTTCAGAAAACAAAACTGGCTGCCTACGCAATAGTCATTTCTAATAGAATTCCTGCTAACACAACCCCACTTTATCTAATCATCCGAGACTGCATGCTTCAGAGTAGAGACTAGGTCCTTCCCAAGCCCCAGGGATGAATCCTGGCTGTTCAAAGCCAATCATGAAAACCCCATCCACCTGCCAGGGCTTGGCTTTGGAATAGAAACATACCACAGTTCTAAAAGGTCACCGTGGAACAAGGAGGAGTCAGCTGGGATAGGGGAGCTCATGGGCAAGTTTTTCTAGTTCTTAAAGGTAACAAAATTAAGGGACCGTCCTTTTCTTGGCCTTTAGATGCTATATGAAAGACACTTGGAGCAGCGGTAGCCACACTGCCACCACGAGGGACAAGCCCCCAGGCTGCAGAGCTGAGAGATGAACTGGTTTTTTGATGACAGCATTGAGCCTCTGCATTAAGCAACCTTGGATTGATCATACTTTGGGCTTCTTGTTTTCTGAGATAATGCATCACTTTGTGTAGCCCATTTCAGATCGGGTCTTACGTTACTTGCAACCCAAACTGCACTGACTAATACAGACTCCTCGGGAAGGCAGGTGCTACTGTCATGTAACCACCTTCTGATTTCTAGTCTACACATTTCATGATAAACTTTCTGGCAGGTTTTTGCACCTTTCTTTTTCCTAACTCCTCACTACCGCTTTGTAAACACACAAGTACTTATGCTATTAGAACAGCGTTTAAACTACTCCCACTGTTTCACACAGACACACACAAACTTCTCTACATTTTTGAGACATGACACATTCAATAAAGGCTTCCTTGTAAAGAACCACTTACGAAACATGCTATGATAACGGCAGGGAGTTAGGAAAAGAACCAGGTGGGATAAGTAAACAGTGTTTGAAAACATAAAAGTCTGGGCTGGCCGGTTAGCTCAGTTGGTTAGAGCCCAGCCTTGCTACCCTGAGGTCTAAGGGTTTGAATCCCCATACCGTCCAGTTGGTGTGGTACTAACAACACCAAGGTTCAGGGTTCAATCCCTGTACCAGCCAGCTGCCAAAGAAATAAAAGGTCACTATGAAAACAAAAATCCTGTCCTTCCACTATTTGGATGACTGTTCTTCAATAAGCCAGCGCTTTTCCTTACTGGTGTAATATCTGTCGATAACAGAGAAAAAGATCAGTTAGATTTATTAAAATTTTTTTTTTCTTTCATTCAAATTTTTCTGCTTTATACAAAAACCACTGAGTCATAAAACTCTGTTGTTTTGTAGTAAAACACAATAGAACCCAAAGTGCCTTGTTAATACAAATCTGTAGAAATCTAAAACTCAGCACATGCCAGAAATTCACTAATACCAAAAGATTAATCTGATTACATTGTAGGTAAGATAGGTATAGTTATAAATAGGCAGCAGAGGGATAAGAAATGGAAGCGTCTGTGCGAAAACCTAGCAGGTATACAGCACCCTCTACTGCCAAATGAAATAAGCTAAGAGTCGTGTATTTGAGGTACTATTTTAGAGCAAACCTCTTCCTGCTAATGATGCTTCATTTTCCATATTAATTAGCATGCTTCTGAGGGCCAAATAATAATAACAAATAACATTAGTTTCTTATGTAAGCCATTTAAATATCCTACTTTAAAATACAGGGTTTGGTTTTCTTTTCAATTTTTTTTTTTTTTTATCTGCCCTTAGCTNACCGTCCTTTTCTTGGCCTTTAGATGCTATATGAAAGACACTTGGAGCAGCGGTAGCCACACTGCCACCACGAGGGACAAGCCCCCAGGCTGCAGAGCTGAGAGATGAACTGGTTTTTTGATGACAGCATTGAGCCTCTGCATTAAGCAACCTTGGATTGATCATACTTTGGGCTTCTTGTTTTCTGAGATAATGCATCACTTTGTGTAGCCCATTTCAGATCGGGTCTTACGTTACTTGCAACCCAAACTGCACTGACTAATACAGACTCCTCGGGAAGGCAGGTGCTACTGTCATGTAACCACCTTCTGATTTCTAGTCTACACATTTCATGATAAACTTTCTGGCAGGTTTTTGCACCTTTCTTTTTCCTAACTCCTCACTACCGCTTTGTAAACACACAAGTACTTATGCTATTAGAACAGCATTTAAACTACTCCCACTGTTTCACACAGACACACACAAACTTCTCTACATTTTTGAGACATGACACATTCGGTAAAGGCTTCCTTGTAAAGAACCACCTACGAAACATGCTATGATAACGGCAGGGGGTTAGGAAAAGAACCAGGTGGGATAAATAAACAGTGTTTGAAAACATAAAAGTCTGGGCTGGCTGGTTAGCTCAGTTGGTTAGAGCCCAGCCTTGCTACCCTGAGGTCTAAGGGTTTGAATCCCTATACCGTCCAGTTGGTGTGGTACTAACACCACCAAGGTTCAGGGTTCAATCCCTGTACCAGCCATCTGCCAAAGAAATAAAAGGTCATTATGAAAACAAAAATCCTGTCCTTCCACTATTTGGATGACTGTTCTTCAATAAGCCAGTGCTTTTCCTTACTGGTGTAATATCTGTCGATAACAGAGAAAAAGATCAGTTAGATTTATTAAAATTTTTTTTTTCTTTCATTCAAATTTTTCTGCTTTATACAAAAACCACTGAGTCATAAAACTCTGTTGTTTTGTAGTAAAACACAATAGAACCCAAAGTGCCTTTTTAATACAAATCTGTAGAAATCTAAAACTCAGCACATGCCAGAAATTCACTAATACCAAAAGATTAATCTGATTACATTGTAGGTAAGGTAGGTATGGTTATAAATAGGCAGCAGTGGGGTAAGAAATGGAAGCGTCTGTGCTAAAACCTAGCAGGTATACAGCACCCTCTACTGCCAAATGAAATAAGCTAAGAGTCGTGTATTTGAGGTACTATTTTAGAGCAAACCTCTTCCTGCTAATGATGCTTCATTTTCCATATTAATTAGCATGTTTCTGAGGGCCAAATAATAATAACAAATAACATTAGTTTCTTATGTAAGCCATTTAAATATCCTGCTTTAAAATACAGGGTTTGGTTTTCTTTTCAATTTTTTTTTTTTTTTATCTGCCCTTAGCTCCAGGGCCTTTCCGAAGTTTTGCAAAAATGCTCTTTTTTATTATTCACTTGTGAACACAAGCATTATTTAAAAAGGAGAAAAAAGAAAAAAAAAGTGCCCTATTTTAAAAGTTTAAATTTGTTAAAGTTTTCTAGGATTGGGGGTAAAAATCATCCCGCAACATTAAAAGAAATCTCAAGAAAATATTTTTTTCACCCATAATCTAATCCCTTAACCCAATTATAGTTTCCTTTTTTTAATTGTTTTTTCATTTTCAAAAATTTTTGAATGAGTTCTAGAATTAAGCAGAACTAGGTTTAAACTTTTGCTGTACTACCTGCCATCTGTGACAACAAGCATGTTGTCTTCCTACCTCGAAGGCTCACCTATAAAACAGGGAAGATGCATTCCTCACAGGGATCACTGTGAGAATTAAATCAGACCACGTACGTAAAGCACTGAATGGTGCCTCCCATAGGCCGGGCACGTAATAACCATCCCTGACCTTTTTACTTCCTTCCATTGATATGGGATTTGACTTTGCTTGTTCTCATATTAAACAGCAACACGACCTGTATGCTCTTCCACAAATCATACATTAATTCCAGTGGTCTCTGTTAGCAGGAAAGGGGGAAGAGTGTCTTGCCCTCAAAGCACACCTAACCCACTTTATTTTGTAAAGACAGACTCAAACAGCATAGCCAGTCCCCTCGTAGCCTCTTTCACAAGAGTGGAGTATTCTGGACAAGGCCTGATGACATTCTGAGCTTTACGACTGCTGTGTTCTCATCAGGAAAGTGTATTGCCGTGAGGATGTGGGCTCCCTGTTTGGCCAGGAGGAGACGATTACATGCTCACAGGAAGCTCTGCCCAAATGGAGATGTCATCCCTTACTGAGACGTGGTTCTGGGG